TATTTGTCTTCTGAATCTTGTAGTATACTCTACTGTATACTTGTCATAACTTTTGGGATGATTATATCACTGTTATGCACACCGACTGATTATTCGATCGGCATGACTGAAATGGAGTGATCTACTAATTTCACTGATTTACAGTATGGTCGAGTGAGAGTTATTCATGGGATATTCTGTTGTGTATACAAAATACTACTGAAGTGATATAGGAATACATAACAATTGTTGATCAGTACGTATAAGGTGTATCGTCTTTTAAAATTAATGAATTTGTACTTATCTAAATAATTTAAATGTGTGTCACAAATTTAGTGGTACAACACTCGCCAACCACACGCGTAGTTCGGGGTCCGATTTCCGACTGACGCAGCCATAAACCTTATTCATCTAGTAGTAAGTCCGGCAAAGAAGGAAGACTGGACTAGGGGCTAGCATTCCGATTCTGTGAAAGAACACCACTACTACTGAAACTTCAAAGCTTGAGCTTGAAATCGTATGTTCACCTTGGAACATAAAGGAATAAAAAAGGAAGTCTGAATAGAATTCAGTTAACAGGTATTGAATCTCCAGCTAAGGACAGTCCAAAAAGTCATTAGACAACCAGTGAGTTCTCGTCAATAGATGACAGGCTGCATTTCTGCTCCAGATAGTATGTCGAATATTGGAATTAAATGTAACGTATTTCAAGCTAATATTCTTACACTGTTGTACAGAGGTTATGAATATACTGAAGCCCTAAAAAATATATAAATCACAAAACAGTCAATACTTATTGCACCTCTACACATACATTTAATCAGCATTATTCAAAGTTTTGAGGTATTCTTGCTGTTGTAGTGAGAGCTAGCTGGGAACAAGGCAAAATTGAAGACAACAATTTACGTCAATGTTCACATTCCGAATCAGGGTCATGAGAATAACAATAACAATGCTTAACCTTGAGAAAATCACCAGCCAGTTACACACGAGTTAACGTGTAGAAATATAATTCGCAGATATATGACTTCATCTCCTGAGAAATGCCCACAAACCGATAACAGAATAACCTTCAGCAAGAAGACAACCAATCCGGAGAGATCGCTTCTCCGCTAACAATAATATACATAAAAATCCATAGATACCTCTTGATTTTCTCAATAAACGATCTGTTGCCTGGCCCTTGTCTTCCGTAGTTACTATTTTACAGAAGTCATAGTGAATATCAAAAACACAATTGTCAAACTAATGAGAAACAATTTAATGTATCTTCGTCTAGGCTGATTCTGCCTTCCTCTATCTCTCCACTTACTGAATGTTATAATATCAAATATTTACACTATTTTAGGAGTTTTTATACCTGTAATGACTGAATAACCTACTATGAAGTCTAACTTTTCAAACATATCAAAAAGTTTATTATACCTTGGAACTAACGTGAATGCAAATATGTTTATCTACTAAAATTAAACTAAAACATTCATGAATTCACTGGTTAAAGAAGACACTATCATTGGGCCTTACATGAACAATGCGGTGAAGTTTCTATTCTTTTTTTTTCTTTATAATTAAGTTATACCTCTTACCAGCCGTTTCCTATTTTCTCCTTTCCAAAAGAAAGTTGTCAACACTATGAATGCATTGTAGAAGAAAGTAGATGTCGCATTTTATTTTTGTAGTTACAACCATTTTGTTTATCTCCATTTACATTACAGTATGTATTTTCTTTTTATTCTGTTTGATTTTACTGAACTTAGAATTTTTTTCCAACGCTTAAGATTTAAGACAAATACTACGTTTTGGTTAAAAATTTTTGGACAAAATATCTGTCAGTGTAGAAAATTTTAATAAATTTTAGGGTAAAGATTGTCAAATATTGGACTGTTGCAAATATATATATATATATATATATATATATATATATATATATATATATATATTCGAGCTATTCTCAATTTCCTTCAGTTCTTTTGAGAAAGAAGCATCAGTTGTCGTTGTTATTGAAGTCTGCTTGAATATTTGACATTAGGTGTCCTTTAATTCATTTGTTGTCACCATTCAAAATTCATTTTGTGCGCATTTATTTCTTTGTTTGTTTGTTTGTATAGTTGCGCGGTCACTTTAGTTGACGAAGTATACGGAAACTAACATTTTTTCGTCATGTTTTTAATCCTTCATCTAGCTTCTTCAAAAAATTAAATGAGTTGCATTTTACTAAAAAAAAAAAGAAAGAGACAGAAAGTAACTTCATTTGACGAATTTATTTTTTTAAATTATTTTGTGATAAACACTCATGTAAGCATAAAATAAAGAAATATACTAGCCACTTGCAGTCCGTTTGGCGACATTTATTTTTAGTGTAATACACGGATCAGTGTTTATTTCATCAGTTGATATGCTTATATGCATACATCGGTGACAGTGAATAAGACAAGAAAGGGGAAGAACGATGTTAATTATGACAACGTTGGTTACGACAAGGATAATGTTGAAGATTTTGACTGTCATTATTCACATTTTCCATAATAAAAGGAACCCTGCTTGAAAGTCAACGGTAATTTGTATATTTTCTTCCATATTCTAGAACAAATATTCACTTAAATAAGTCAGAGAAAAGAGAAAAACAGTCTGTATATATACATAAAACTCTGGACATACATTTATGTGACACATTGCAAAGACGACATAACTTAACAGTTGCTTACAAACCATTTCTAAGAGTTGAAAAGAAAGACAAAAATCAAGGGGAGAATATTATCAAAAATGAAAATAGAACAACAAAAGACTTTCTACATATTATTTATGAAATTTTGAGTGTTTCAGAAATTTCTTCTCTTCGTTTAGTGCTTAAATTTAATTATTTAAGTGTCAGATGTTTTAGAAAAAAACAAGGGTGATGTCTCTAAAATATAAAAAAAATAGTGTTATCCGATATCACTCGATTTCAATGATTTGAGCGCGTTTTCTATGCAGGAACTAGAATACAATCTCAGCGTTAGTGATTAATTCTGATTATCAAAGAATATGACACATGGATAATCACTGGTGGTGATGACTATAAACACGGGGTAACATTCAGTAATAGATTAAACGTTGAGCAGCATTTTTTGTAAGTTACAGCCTACTGACTGAACCTGTCGTCTCAGTTATTATTTGAATCCAGTAATCTTCTAGCACTCGATGCTGTGAAATATACAGGCCAAACTATATGCCTGTTAGTTATTAATCGTGGAATCCGGGACGCGCGTTCCGCACCGCACAGGATTTTTCAGTTATATTCACCCGTAACTTAGCGAGTGCGAGTGCACGTGTTCTTGTAAACGTCAGGTGCACCTTTCACATCTATATCATCTAGTGGGCATCCCTGCGAATTTCGAAGTGACAGATTCCAGATATCATCAGAGACTAAAATGCAGAATCATCTCAGTGATTAGTTTCAAACAAGATAAGAAAAGCTTCCCAACTTCCACTACCAAATATATATATATATATATATATATATATATATATGCCCATTGTGGGGAAATATACGAGTAATCGTTCATTTCAGTAATTTTCAAAGAACATGTCTAGTAACCGAAACCTAAGTATTTTAGTTCAAATGCAAGAAATAAATCAACCCCTTCTTCTTTATAGTTTTCTAAACTTCTACAAGTGACGCGCAGACAAAAATTACATTCCAACAAAATCAAGACACAAATGAACCTGATAGAATGTACAGTACTACTGAACGATAATAACTTGTATCAAAAATACAGAAATACCTCAACAAGGGTGTCTGGCAGCTATACACTTCAAACATTTCTCAGGTACAATTTAATTGCTACACACACACACACAAAAGTAAAATACTTGAAAATCAAGTAGGATATTCCAAACAAGATGAGACAGAAAACTGTGTCTGCAAGAGTCCAACAAAAGAAAAACCGTTTCCCTTAGGCAGTTCACGATCAAGCAGTCACTTTATGGTGTAGGCTTGCATTCGCTCAAATTAAAAAGGAAATGGAAATCTCATAGATGATTTAATCACTTAATAAAATATTCATAAACAAGTACTGAGTTTTGTAATTACCATTATTCGTCAGAATCGAATGGATCGAAATCACTTCTCTCCTGCTATCTTCCTATAAATTTAAATTTATCTGTCGAAATGAGAAAGTGTATAGATTCTATAGGAATCTAATTAGTTGGTAGTGACTGCCCTAGGATATGTGTGACCGTTTCTCATAATTATTAAGTGATAAGTCATGCTTAAATTTTCCAAATCACCTTTAAATTGTTATAATGTATGAGTCAGTATTTCTGATGGTGATAATCGTTTGTATTTGTACTTGTAACACTCGTAGTGTGTATACCACTAACATGCAAATGATAACATATCCTTTCATCCTGGTTACAGGACTGCACCATGGGCTGACATAGGTTAGAGAAGCATTGCAAAACCTTCAGGAATGACTGGACGTTTGTTTAGACCTACTTTGGGCTTCTTCATCGGTACGCACCCGTTGGGGTTCGAAGAGAGGACCTTCCTATTACACTGCAAGCTCATAGACCATAAAGTTACTGAAGTTGGCTCTATTCAGGTAGGTAGTTGCCTGGGTTCAGTTGGGAAGTCGTGACCAGTGGGGTCGGATGTCATAACAAATACTCGCCGATGACAATGACAAGCGGTTGCGCTATATCGGGAGTTTGCAGAAGTTGGAATTCACCGATTGGCCATTAGACTGGGTCCCAGTGACTTAATGGTCTACGAACTCACCTCATAGCCGGGAGGTCCTGGGTTCCTTTCCCTATGGGTGTATACTGTTGGGGAGAACCAAGCTAGAACGAAACAACCACCCAGTACTCCCAGTTTTTTCAATGTTTCTCTAACCCATGCCAGCTCATGATGAAATCCTGTTAAAAATCAAGTCAAATCCCTGCAAACTAACAGGTGAATATCCTTTTTAATTACATTTTCTGTATGATTTACTCTTAGTAACTAGAATAAAATCTACTTTGTATTGTTGTTTCCTCTTCAGACGTTTGGTCTAATGGAAAGTAAAGAATGTCAGTATAATCACTGTAATTGTGAAAATTTTACACCTTGTATAAATAATCAACGTCAGTGTTCAAAATGCAAACATTCATGGACATTTCATGGTGAGTGTAATTATTGCCATCATATAAAAACTTACAAGCGTTAAACTTTTCAAGTGCTTGATTATAGGGATCTGGTTGAATTTTAGATCGTTTCTGTCGCTCACACTAACATCAGATAGAAAACGTTTGAAAACTAAGGATTACTGGAAAGCTGTCTCGTCCTGGTTTGGAATTTTCCAGCTGTATGCACTAAAGACCTCATCAAGGATAAAATCCATGACCTTCATGGTAGGAGACAATCCCGTTGACTACTCAGTTGCCAGGCTGGAATCCATTGGTCTTCGAATTATGACTTCTGTTGGTTCGCGCGATATACAGCCATTGTTACCTAATTTTGTCTTAGAGTCTGTCCTCACAACCAACATGATGAACTCAACTAGTCATAACCTCCCAGTATAACTCTCAGGGTTACATCCAGTAGTCATTCAGCTATAAGCACTGGAATAATTTTCATTTGTTGTGCTGTTCTTGTTAAAGACTCTCCACCATATATATATAGTCTGTGTGGAGGTCAACAGCACTCAGTATCAAAAATAAGATCCGGATTTTCAGCTCCAGCGTGAAGTCAGTGCTACTCACTATACGGATCAGAGACTTGGCCAGCGCGTCATAAAGAGTTAAGGGGTGAGAAAATAGACATAGGTCAACTTAAGAGGACGTATTGAAAGTCAAAATAACAATGAAGATCACAAAACTAAATATCAAAGGTAATAGTACATCTGTTATGATATCAAAACAAGGTTTACTAACTTGATCATCGTTCGTTAGTGTGGGGTCATTTTTAGTTGTCAAGTTGGTCAATTGGTAAAGATAACAAAATCAAGCGTAGATTGTTGGATTTGATCAGTGTGTAAAATTATAAAAGTAGTGTGTGTTTACACAGTGAACTTGCTTATCACATTCGTGTTGATTTTGTCACTTCATGGGGAAGGGAGGTATTGTAACCATGTCAGATTCTGTTTTAGTCCATCATTCCTATTCAGACAATTTGGATTCCACTTGATATGAAGTACTTCTGATGATATTAGACATTCTTTGTGATTTTTGAAGTTTTTCTGGATTATTTCAATATTGTCAAAATCAATTTTGTGGCCTGATTCTATAGCATGTAGACCTATGGCTGATGATTTTTCAAGTTTTTCTAGTTCAACTGGATTTCTCGGTAGTCGAAGAGATGCTGTACGGTGTTCATTTCTTCTGATTTTGATTTCGCTAGATGTTTATCCGATGTAGATCGCATCACATTCCAAGCATTTTATTTTATAGACACAATTAGATAGAGAAATCTTTAGGGATTTGGTCTTTTATATGGACAAGGTTGCTTTGCAGTGTCTGATGTTTTGAAGAAGACTCTAATGTCGAGCTGATTGAGTACTCTCCTGATATCGTCTGACGTCTCTGCTCTATATGAAATGACGACTGTTGAGGTCCATGTTTTCGGAATGCGTTTTCGGCCATACTTAATGTCTGTGTTGATTTTGTTGATGTGTTACATGGCTCTTAGTTCTAATAGAATTTAAACTAACATGTTTGTAATAAGATTAACAACGACAGAATTTACTGTAGCTACACAATCTAGTTTATATTAGTGGTTGAAGAGAGTCAAGTGCAAGGTGAGCATGAACTACGCATCATCGTGGTTGACTCCTTTCAGTAACATACACATTTCCAACCTTGGCAAAGACTTAAGCTTCCTTCGAGATTTAAACCTGTTTACCTCAGGTTCGAAATAATTGAGTTTTCCACTGAACTATTCAAATTATGACTGATTCCACGTATAGTCAAACACGTTGTGGTGGGCCAATCGATGGATTATCGATAGAATTAGATGACCAAACAATATGCTATAATTATCAGATATCAAAAATTATTAAAACTTTCGGTTACTCGGTGGTGAGTTGAGTTCAGCCATCCCATATTTTAGTGATATAGTTAATAGAATCACCTGAAAAATACGTTAATTATCTTTCTTCACTGGAGGTTCACAGATTTGGCCCTTTATGCTTATCGTAAGTCTGAAGGTGTAGGTGAAGGATGACAATGGAAAGTCAATCACAAAAGAAGTGGAGCAAAGAAAACACTGTGCCGAAAAACTTCAAAAGACTTCTAAATCGTCCGCCACCTACAACACACCTAACAATACAAACAAAGGAAGAAGAACTACCAGTGAACATCGACCCCCCAAAGAAATCAGAAGTCCTGAATGCAATCAAGGTGCTAAAAGCTGGAAAAGCAGCAGGACCAAATGGAATCCCAGCAGAAGCATTGAAAATGGATCCAGAGACAACATCGGACTTGATGACACCACTACTCGAAAAGTCGTGGAAGGAGAGCAAGGTACCCGAGGATTGGAAGAAAGGATACCTATTCAAACTACCCAAGAAAGGAGACTTAAGTCAATGCAAGAACTGGCGCGGAATTATGCTCCTGTCCATCCCAAGCAAAATACTAAGCCGCATCATCCTGGAGAGAATTAAACACGCCAACCTGGATGAAAACTTCTACCGGAACAGGCTGCATCCAGGAGGAACAAGTCATGCATCGATCAAATCACAACACTACAGATCATCATTGAACAGAGTTTGGAATGTCAGTTACCCCTCTATCTCAACTTCATCGACTTTGAAAAGGCCTTCGATAGCGCAGCGTCGATCGAGAGGTGATTCGGCAACTACTTCAATACTACGGTGTGCCATCGAAAATTATACATCTCATCCAACAGTTAAACGACAATGCTGCATTCCAAGTAATCCACAACGGGAAACTTACGGAATCCTTCGAAGTGAGGACGGGAGTGAGACAAGGCTGTCTACCATCACCAATGATCTTCCTGACTGCAGTAGATTGGATAATGCGACAGACAACGGGAAATGAGGAAACAGGCATAAAATGGACTCACACAAAAAACTTGGAGGATCTGGACTTCGCCGATAATGACATATGTTTGATTTCTCACAAAGATGCAAAATATGCTAGTGAAAAGTAACAAGCTGGCGATAGAAGAAGCATCAAAGATAGGACTTCAGGTGAACATAGAGGAAGCAGAGATGATGAAGATTCCTGGTCAACAGCAACAACAACAACAGACAACAATCAGCCAACATGAATGGGAGGAACCTGAAAGAAACAACCTCCTTCACCTACCTGAGAAGCACCTTTTCAGCTACAGGCCAACGGAACTGACGAGAATATCAAAGCCAGAATCGGAAAAGCAAGACAAGCTTTCACTACTCTTAAGTCTGTGTGGAGGTCAACAGCACTCACCATCAAAAATAAGATCCGGATTTTCAGCTTCAATGTGAAGTCAGTGCTACTCATTATACAGATCAGAGACTTGGCCAGCGCGTCATAAAGAGCATCTCTAACAAACTACAGACCTTCATTAACAGTTGTCTTTACTCAATACTCAAGATCACATAGCCGGCCAGAAAAGATCAGCAACAGGGATCTCTGGCAATGAGCGAACCAACTAGGCAGGAACCGATTGTGAAACAAATAGGCAGGAAGAAATGGAGATGGATTGGCCATACGCTGAGGAAACCATCAAGTGACATCACTAGACAAGTCATCGCTCGAGTGGAATCCGAAAGGGAAGCGGCGAGTTGGTCGTCAGTGTGAGGGTGACTTGGAGGAGGTGATGTGAAGAGGAGATGAAAGAATGTGGGCAGACTTTGAGCCAGGTGAAAACGTTGACAGAGAACCGAACCCAATGGAGACGTGCAGCTGAAGCCCTATGTTCCTCTAGGAATTAAAGGAAATAATAATAATACTTATCGTACTAAAGATGGGTATCTGCTGTAAGTTTCCAATAGTTAGTCAATCAACTGTTAGAAGGTCAGTAGAGTGACCATAGTTAATGAACGCAAAATGTGGAAGGAAACACATAAATTTTCATGCTAACAGGGTCGGAAATCATACTGAAGCGGGAGTAAATAGTAGATAAATGCACATTTTCGATTGTTATCAGTTAGAGAACCATTGAAAACCAGGGATTACTGGACAGCTGTTTCACCCTGGTTTAAGAATCAACGGCTAAACCACGAATTGATAGAAGTTAGAATTCCCTGTTTTTCAATGGTTCTCTAACTGATAACAATCCGTGATCAACTCGTAAAACAAATCTAATCTTTACAAACCAACTATTGAAAATTAATCTGATGCCAGCTAGTGACTTGCTACAGGATGGAGTTTCCTGGAGCTCTAGTGAGAAGTCGCGACCACTAAGGTCCATCCAGATGTCAAGTGTGAGGATGGATGTCCCTCTGATGACATTGGTTGGAGGTCGCGCGAAATCACGAATTGGTAGAAGTTACAATTCATACACCGGTCACTGAATCGGGTCGCAGTGGCTGAATGATATACGAGCTTACCTTGTAACCGGAAGGTGATGGGTTCGGGCCCTGGTGGTGGGTGCGTACTAATGATGATTCCCAAACTAGGATGAAACAGCTGTCCAGTACTCCTGGCTGGTTTTCAGTGGTTCTCTAACTGATTAAAGTCCGTGATCAGCTCGTAAAACAAATTTAATCCTTACAAACCAACTGATGGAAATGCATGTTTCATTTTAGACAAAGGACAAGTAAAGTATTCTGATAGAAGAGAATACTGTTTCTTAACTGATCCTAAAAACTGTAAAAAAAAATCATATTCATATTCTCCACAAGAATTCACAGGTTTATCGCTGCTTGTTAACCAAAACAACACTTTATATTTTCAATTTTTGATCAAAATCTACTGGAAAGCTTTTCCTTTTGCTAAAACTGTTATATTTTATTGATTTCAGCATTAAGAAATCTTGTCAGATTTATCAGTCATTCCAATGAAGAAACAACATCAAATACACCGTCGACTAGTCTATCACAATTTTTCATTATAATTCAGTTGATGAATTTACTTCTATGCAATTGTCATTTAATTCCAGTTCGAATGAAAATTATTTTGGATAAGTTGACCGAAACCTACCTAACAAAATATCAATTTGAACAAATATTGAGAATATTTGATTGGTCATTAACAGACTATACACGTGGTTATAGAGCAGTCAATGTAAGTTGATGCTTAATACACCGTGGATGAAGAAAAATATCTTGCGAAGACACAATATTATTACTTGTTTATGCTAGATTGGTTCAGAGAAATTATTATAAACTTCATGGTAATCGAATGAACTTGCAGGATTATTTCAACTGGCGAGCGAAATTTCTGGTTACTGTGGGTGAATGGAACTTACATTAACTCAAAACTGCTTTTAAAAGCATTGATAAATATACATCACTGCTTGAAAAGCAATCGTTCTTCACCTTCTAGGAAAAGATTGTGTTCAAAATCTCAATTTGTTTTAAAGGTAGTACTGTCAGAAAATAGAATTAATTTGGAATAATAGAAAAGATTTAATAATCTGTCTGATTGAGAAAACATTTTTGGTTTTACAGGATTTCATCATGAGCTGACATTGGTTAGAGAACCAATGGAAAACCTGGGAGTACTGAACAGCTGTTTCGTCCCAGTTTGGGACTCTTCAGAAGTACGCACCCACCGGGATTCGAACCGGCGGTTCGATATTTGACAATGGGAATATTATTTCTTATCTCACTGATATCAAAAGTAGACAAGTTTTTGGAAGTTAAAAAGTGAAGCGCACTAAACAGTTTTCAGGGAAGGACCTCATAACTGCTCACTGTCTTAGAGGAATTTATCTAGTACTGTGGTGACAGCTAGCTAAAAACAAGCCAAAATTGTAGATAACAATTTACTTCAATGTTCACGTCCCAAATCAAGATCATGAGAAAAACAATAACAATGCTTAAACTTGAGAAAATCACCAGCCAGTCACACACGAGTTAACGTGTAGAAATATGTGTAGATATATGGCTTGACCTCCTGAGAAATGCCCACAAACCGATAACAGAATAACCTTCAGCAAGAAGACAACCAATCAGAAGAGGTCACTCCTCAGCTAACAATAATATACATAAAAATCTACAAATACCTCTTGATTTTCTCAATAAACGATCTGTTGCATGGCCCTTGTCTTCTGTCGTTACAGTACAATGGATTATTTCATTTCTGATGCAGCATTATTGCACTGCACACAATCATACATTCAGTTTGAGTCATATAGAGGACGAACATTGCTTGTTTGAGGCTTATTTGATAAAAGAAACTGGAATGATTCAAGACCAGTCTTATTCAAATATATCAACGACTGATGTTCACCTCAGCTTTAATGTCACAAACCATCGTTGTTTTTCATATTCTCATCTTTATTTCAGAATGTTTAGTTACTTCTGATAACGGGATATTCATTTCGTCTACCACGTTTATAATCTCTTCATACTTGGCAGGCAAAATAGAAGTTGTGACAATTTGAATTAACACACAATTGTATCAATTCTTATGTTGATAGTCTGTCTGTTTTTCTAATTATTTCATTTTAAAAAAATATATCGCTTCTTCTATTTATCATACACTCATCAAAAAGTAGATTATGGAGAAAAATCTAACCGAATTTACATTTTCTTTGGTAAAAGTTTGAAATCTATTCTGCTAGACGCCGTTATAAGAAAAGAATTTATTAGTCAGATATGGATTGGTGTTGTTAACGATGCCCAGCTTGACATAGGACTAAGTCTTAATCATAACTCCTTACTTACGTCCTCAAGCAAAGAAAATATATTTGCATAAGTCTTATTTTAAATGACATCCATAGACACGCATCTTATCTCTACTGAAGAAGACTGCCTGAGATTTCAGCTCACAGCTCTGCAAAGAAGTTCATAAGTTATGTTCTTACAGCTCAGAACAGCATAAACGGGATGAAAAAATGAATAAGTACAAGTGCTAACAGAAGAAAGACAGGTAAACGATGGTGTATGAAATTGTTGAGAACACAGATCACAAAGAATGAATACTTTCTCTTACTGAGCCACTAAGCATTGACAACCACTCATTTTTAGCAACTTTACGACCCCAATCAGCCAACATTCAGGTATTTATCTAAGGCCTGCAGTAATTGATGGAACGGTAATTGACTCTATGAATTCCTGCCGTATTTTTGTTTGACTGCTTCTAACTCCTTTCCAACTTCATCTTTGTCTGGCTCGTGTTTCTTTTTTTGGGAAATGGTGTCTTGTATGTTTAATACGTGTTTCAGCAACTTCAAGAGATGGAACTTTACAGCTTCGTCAGTTGACTCGCTTCTATTACCCAACGGTATACATCCAATCTTACATTATCTACCACGTACTTCCAACTAGTTTAACGAACTCTATAGAGATAAATACGTTCAAAAACCCTCGAAAGTTTCGTATTTTTCACTTACTACTTCATTGTTTCACATCTGTACAGTAAGATAGAGTGAACTCCTACTCAACACACACACACACACTTTTTCATAGAAATGTCTTATCACAGCGACTAACACTAAACGAGTCTTTTGTTCCTTTTGCTTGTTTCCTCTAAGCCTAATTTATTCTTCCTATAAGTGTATATATTATCCAGACTATTTCCTCTGTGATAATCACAGGAAAATCTTTCATCGTCATTATAAGAGAAGTCTACAAAATCATCAGTATGGCAGTTGTCATAAACTTACCTTGCTCCTACAAACTCATTTAGCCAGAACCGCAAATAAATGATAAATCATTGCATTCCAAGTAAGAAATGAGCTACTTTTGTTGATGCTCAATGACATTCCATATCGTTGAAACTCATCAGGCGGTTTTGCCAGATTCCTTGCATCGCCCACAAAACGATATTCGAATAAGTATAACTAGATCTTACACACCTTTCAGAGATAGAGTTTTAACCACTGAGATCTGCTCTTTAGTCTGGCAGGACTGTTAAATGCTAAGAAATACAAAGAGAGGTACACTGCTTGGTTTTTGAAGGTAAGAATAGCACTCCACTTGATCAGCTCGCTATAAACAGTCTTACAGTCAATAAAAACTTAAGAAACCCCATGAATTAGTGGTAAGAAGAATTCCCGAATGAAGGCAAGAAAGTGTAGGTGATGAACAATTGAGTTTTGTGTACTTCTAAGCTATACATACTGTGAAAGTTGTCTATACAACGACTCAAATATAAACTCGAACTCTTCTTAAACATATTTTTCATCTAAAAAGTGATTTATCTTTGAGGTTAATTGTAACTACTATGTCTTAATACTTCTATTAATAATATAGACTTCTGAACAACCAGTATGGAATATGTGTACACTTGATGAAGAATATATAATTCTGAAAGAAATGAAACGTTGGCTGAAAATCGTGCCACTTGCTGATGATTTATTGGCAACTATGAAGAATGATTTTCCTCAAGACATGGATGCAACAGAACACTTTCCTATTACTGATAATGAAGAAGGCAGAGAGCTTTCAGCATCTTCTACATCAGTAGCTGGCAGCCATGTAAGCCTAAAAGTGTTGTATCCTCACACACTAGTCATTGGTAAATCACCAACTAATAGAACACCTGAATCCACTGAATTCTCTAACTCCGCATTACTATCAAACCAAACGTCTATGGAGTCACTGTCCACCCATACACTGAGGGATTACTTAGTATCTACTGCTACTAATTTTGATAAACTTAACGAATATACACTTTTATCAACATTAGCAAATATTGGCCTTTATGGATATTCGCCAAGAGTTAGTATAATTCCAATGACAAATTCAAATATGGACATTAGTTCAAATAGCGAGGATAGCTTCACTTCTAAAGAATTAAAAAAATGAGTACACTGCATCCCCAGAACACAGAGGGTGACTCCAGTTATACACTATTCAATAATTCAGTTAACAAATTTCAGTCTCATGCGTTAAATAATGAAAAATATTCTATAAAACCAACCAACCAGCCCAATCATCATATCAGCAATCGGTTTAGAAAAATAGAAAACAAAACTCTGAAAAGCGAAGTAAACGACATCAGTAAACAAGGTTAGTGAGCTCCCCATTTCTTACCATATCATTTTGTGCATAAAGTTGTCTTTCTTTTAAAGTTCCATGTTGTGAAAAGGAGTTAAATTATTTTGCGAATTCCCCAAATGTCTAACGATTCATTGAATAATAGTTCAATTATGACAAAATAAATAAATGGCATAATATAATGAGATCCTTCAATGCACCTCTGATTTTTTCCATCAGCTTAGTCACCAGTGAAGACTGAACAAGAAACCATATAATGTTTCTAGTGAATAGAAGAAATACAGATCATGTAGCACATGTAAAATCTAAAAGTTCTAGTTTCTACTCCCCATCATTTCTTTGATTCAAATACAGGCGAAATGCCTTAAAGTAGTGAAGGACAGACGTCCTGAACTACAAACATTTTTTATCATCAGATATTCATCAATAATGTAAACTACCACTACATAGTTGAGAGCGTCTCTTTAGTGCCAGACACATAAATTTCTTAAAGTAACCGGCAATCACTGACAATAAGTATCATCGAGCAGCCATAAACGATGATACTTTTTTATCACATAGCCGGGTAAAATCACTCGCAAAATCGATTCTTTTTGCTGAGAAATGTGCCTCCTTTATCGCTGATAATGATGTGCAGAGAATTTAGTGAAAAAGTAAGCTGGAAATTCTCCAAACGTTAGCAGTTACGTTTTCGTGTTGCCTGAAAACCTACTAAAGAAGTAAGAACACATGTAAATGTCCTAAACTTGAATTTTACTGTTTTTAACTGTAGCCATTTCGTTTATGAGTTAAATATGCCTGTTATAAGTATGGAATTCAGTCAGCATCAAGGACTAGACACACGATATTGGTTACTCCACGGTATCCAATGTGGGTATCCATTACAGTCCTGCACGAGGCCATTCATCAGCCCGAATAACTCAGTGATAATGTTACTGACTGTAGCACTAGGTTATGTGCGTGCCCATCAGTACCTTCTAGATTACAGATACGCCTCGCCAACGAGTAGCAACAACCATGGTCTAGGGCTTCTTGCCGATCGCCTCCAACCATCTAATACCAGACTTTAATTCTCCACAGCGAAAACTGGCACAGGAACAACCAAAGTGGATTACTAAGCATATACAGATTCAGGATCCAGTTGCTAAAATAGACAGTAAAACTGCCGAGCTAGCAGTGGTGACCTGGATTCTTAATTCATTCTCTTGAATTATTCACTTTAGAGATCAGTAGTGTAGGTAGAATTTCAGCTTTAAAATGTTTCAAAATAGAATAAGTTAGTAGACTGTTGTTTTACAGCTATCTGGAACTTAAGTTTTGTTGCATTTTACATCCTTTTATTTGTGTATATGCCAACCGTTTAGCGCGAAAACGCAGTAACACAAGCAATTTGCCAAAGCTGACGCGACAATTAAAATATAATAGCGAATTACCCACACTAGTGGCTACCATCGGAGTAAAGGAAGTGAATCGCACTCATTCTGGGGTTTTCCAAAAGAATTATGTTGTGTCCTTGTTGATTTTCCTCCCGTAGGTGGAATCCATTATCTGCTTTCCATAGTGCTACAGAACTGTGTTTTCCTAAGTCACTCTCAGAAGCATATTATAATCCAACAAGGTTCGAACAGTTATGTAATAATAATAATAATGAATTTCAATATACCATCTTCACCTCCGTATATTTTTGTTTTCAGACGTTTTACTCAGAGATATAAATTCATATCAGTTTGAAATTCCGGATACAGAAATTAAAGAGAAATCAACTCCAAGAAATGTTCAAAGTATTCCTGTTACAATTCCTGAATACATCAATAATTACTCGGTAAAACAATCGTGTAATCGACTTACAACAAGTCAGACATCTAAAAAACCAGTTTCTTCTGAACAGAGGAATAAAAAACGTGTCATGTGTCCCAGTTGTAGAAAGACATTTTGTGACAAGGGTAAATCTGATTGTTACTATACCTGTTGTATTTTGATTTGATTTACAAATACTTATAAGTGCTAAGAATTATTTAGAAGCTATACAGTCTGTTCATGAAAGTCTTTCAGATGGGCTACTGATCGACAAAACCTTTACAGAGACTTGAGAGGTTTCTGACTGACAACTCATGACATTCAGTACTATACTGTGAAGTTTTAGGTGTGGATTCACTCACTTTTAAAAAAAGTTTTCCTCAGCTATCATCAACCTGACTTGTCATTGACACTAACAAACGACTAAACCTCATATTCCTATAGGTAAAAGTGTATCAGGTGAAAAGTGAATTCAGGCACTATTACTTCACACTACTCTACCAAAAGTATTTTAGCCACAACTATGAATTCTGATCACAGGTTGTGTTACCTTATCAGCATTTTACTTATAAAAGTAGTGATTTTCTGTGATTACCCTAGACAATACACTTGTCATTCAAGTATTGGTTTGTAGGGATTTAGTTGATTGGTTACAGGATTTCATCATGAGCTGACATTAGTTAGAGAACCATTGGAAAACCTGGGAGTACTGGACAGCTGTTTCGTCCTGGTTTGGGACTCTTCAGTAGTGTCCAGTACTCCCAGGTTTTCCAATGGTTCTCTAGCTAATGTCAGCTCATGATGAAATCCTGTAACCAAAACACTTGTCAATTAGAAAAGGAATGAGTTTGTAGTAGGATCCTTTTCCACCAAACTAAAAATCATCCTAATATATCTGCATGAATTCTATCCCTTACATCAACAGTAAAATTATGGCGGTTCACATTTGAAAAGACAGAAGCAGCAGATCTCCAAAGATAAATAAATTTTGCCCCGTTAACAGCATTTAAAAGTAACGTGATATTTTAGAAGCTGGAAAATTCGATCTTCCTTGATTGGCTTTCACTTCTTTTGAGGAGAAATCAACACCATGGAGAAGATTTGTCGCTCAGGTGGAGGATTCTGATTTAGTTGTGTTCTGCGGGCCTGTTAGGTTTAACTGCGAAGTTTTCTTCATCCTTCTAGACAAAATCTTCAGCTCAGGTTGTCTAGCAGGACAAAGAAAACTTCACAATTAAACCAATCAACCTTCAGAACACAACTAAATCGAAATAAACATCAGATGAAAAAAGTTTAACGACCATTTATCACTGGACAGTCATTTCATTCAAGTTTACGGTGATGCAATAGTAAACAGTGAAGACTCTACAATGGTGCTGAGAGTGAATTACAAATTACAGATTATCAGGTTCCAACACATTTCAATTAATAACTTTTTGACATATAAACCAAACAGTTGTTTATTCAATTTTTTGTGGAGTCGAGTATGTCTTCTGTTGAACAGTTGCAAATTAAGAAGAATTGATTGGTAATTGCTGATTCTTAATTCTAGTAATTCAATCAATTTCCAACAAGATGAACGTTTAAGAGTTTTCTTTTCTGTTAATACAGGTGCTCTCAAAATCCACTATAGCGCAGTTCACTTGAAAGAAATGCATAAATGTACAATAAATGGATGTAACATGTGGTTTAGTTCAAGAAGAAGTCGAAATCGTCATTCTGCAAACCCAAATCCACGTTTACATATGTTAAATAATAGTAAATCAGTATACAATGATGATTATAATAAATAAACTGATTGGGTAAGTCTCTGTGATACATATTATATGAGGTGAAGTAAAGTTCTCTTCATTCATTGGGTCATTTTATGCCTTGCCAAGTGAATATCAAACTTCATATACTTTGTTTAGTAAATACTATCTAATTATTACATGTAATTACTTATTCTTCATTAATAAAGTTAACGTGACTTTAAAATTTCTTTTACTTTACAGTATTGAATACTGAAAATTTCAAAACTCATTTAAACCAGCATCATTTATCGAAGATATGACAGCAAACATTGTTTATCAGAAATGAAGAGAATATAAGGCGGTAATTTCAAGAAGTATGCTGTTCTTTTACTCAAATACAAACATATTTGAGCACTTCTTTCATCTATATATGAATAAATCGTATTCATGGTAGTTTATATCTTCTTCTATTAATTAACCTAGTAAATGTAAATATTCTGTAAACTCTTCCTAATAACCCCATTGTTTATCATGTGTATTACCCAGTGATATTGTTATCTATGCCTTAATTTTCTTAGGTAATGTCATTTTCTGACCAACTGTCTAATATTTCAGGTTCTCCTTTACACGAATATAATCAAATGATACACATACATTCATCTATAACGAACTTTCGTTGTTATTTTTAATTAAATTTTGATTTTCCGTTGATTGATTGGACCGAAATATTCTGGCTTTCTTGACACGTTGGCTCCTATCACGGACGCTTCAACGATTTCTGAGGATTAACTTGGGGTAGTTTAATGGATTGTGACTAACAGTGGAAGGTGGGTACTGGATTTCAACCTCATTGGGGATACTATCACTCACTGGGGAATGCAGAAACGCCCAGAGGATGAGTACCGAATAGGATGAAATGCACATCCTGGATTCCACTTCTAGTCATCATCCAACAAATTACTTTTGAGTTTAGTTATTTTCAGAATTATAAAGGTGGGTGCGCTCGAGTGTCTTTCTACAAGAATTCAAAGCCGATAAGTCAATAGGTTAACTTTTACTCATTGAGAAACTTGTCTACGATAACCTCGAGTAATAACAAGAGCTAACAGTTTCCTATCATCATTTCGAACAACCGAGACCATGAAAAAACCACACTTGGGTTAATATACTACATGTTTGTGCTCCTTTAAACCATTCGATGAGCTATCTGGAGAAACAACACACGTCCTAGATTTGGTTGCAAGTCGTACTTATATAGTTTCATTGAATACTAGAGGAATGTACTGACACAGTCGGAATTTGAACAGAACCTAAGATCATATTGAGATGTTTTAATCTTATTATCTATCACTCCTAAAATAGGTAAGATATGTAGCAAAATATTGTAACGGTAGATTTTTGTTCACATTTCACACATATAAGAAGCTAAGCATCCCACAAATATTTAAGTTATGATATTTAAGATTAGTGTTAACTAAGGTTCAGTTTTATAGGTTAGCCTTTTCAAGCCAATTTCATTGAAAGGCTTACATAAATATGGTGTGAAATGTTGCTGAATAAATTTCGCCCCTAACAAGTTACTTCAGTTGACAGCAGAGATACAGCTGTCATGCATTAAATATTAGGTTTTATACATATGCAAAACTAGGACACTGTGACAGTATACAATTCCGTATTAAATTGTTTATTATATACAACACACAGTGAAATAATAATATTATTAACTAGATAACGTTTCAAATATCACCTATTGTTCCTAATTCTACCGGTTGTTCTCACCGCTATCCAAGCAGGAAGACACAGTTATACAGTTTTGAAAATAAGCGTCAAGAAATCATTATATACCAGTTAGTGCTGACCAGCACATTATATCTGAAGATTTTGTACTTAAAATTGCATTGTTCCTGTTGTTAACCTGATGTATTATATTATATGATTGATGAATTACTTTACTTCTATGCCTCTGTATCATGACATTAAATCCCAGATGCTATAACTTTGGAATCCAAAATGGAATTGAGAAGTAATAAATAAGTTAATCTAAGGTTGGTTGCTTGACTTTTCAAAGCGGTGTCATTGTCCTAGAGAATATAAAGAAAAATTTGTCATCTTGTTTAACAGATTTAAGCTAATTATTATTACCATCATTTACTCACTCCTTGATTTCTGGGTGGAACACACAGGTCTTCAGAAGCACGTCTTCATTACACTCCGCCCCCCAATGGTCTTTTGTAGCTGACTGCACAACTCTCCTTTCATATCCTGTTCACGTGATCTTCTCCATGTCAGCTTCGGACACCCGACTCTTCAATTCCTGTTAGGGTTCCACTCAAGGCCCTGCTCAATCATCCTCTCAGCGTATGTCCAGTTCCTTTTTTACCCCATTCTGCACAAACTTTTCATTATACCACTTATTGACCCACCTGAATTTCTAACTCCCATGAGATCTTTCTTTCAAGATTATTTTCGTCGTAAATGGATTCTGTCAGGGAAACCCTAAAACTTAGATGGTATGAGGTAAATGAATTGTTACACCTAAATACTTATCACTAGTAACAAAAGAAGACCGGGAATCTTTGTGTCCTGTAGAAAATGATGTTACTGTTTATTCATCAGGCTGAGAGTCTGCTGTTTCGGAAGTGTTTAACTTCAGTCAGTGTATGTTTTCTAGTGAACATTGCCGCCAGAAAACCAAGACTAAACAATATTTTGGCCGATATGTACTAAAAGCCCCTCTGAAATCAATGACTTCCACAACCTTTCTAGAAAGCTGTATATTTATTTCTGAAAATGTAAATCGCTAACGTTTTCTTGTAATTGGTTGTAGACAAATGTAGAGTTGTCTTATACATTTATATACCTTATAATTCATATACCTTAGACTCGAAATATGTGTAAGCAAAAACATCAAAAGTCGTATATAAATTTGTAAGGAATAAGGAGTAATGGACTCTGAATTGTTGATAATTCTCTTAAACCTTTTTAGTAGGTGTAATATCCGTGTGATAGAAAACCGTATGTTTATTTTCTAAATAAATCATTAACAAGAAATGATCATAAACTAGATATTTGTTCACTGTACTTGTTAGCTGAAGGAATTTCATGCCATATTCAAGGTCAGTTTGAATGATGAATGCTTCAGTGTATGAGATTCAGAAGCTGTTGATTTCAGTAAACAGTTTGTGAATTACCTTAAAGCGACTCTTGTGTGGTTATGAAGTTGAGATTATAGAATTCATATGAAAATTAAGCATAAAGGCAACTTGGGTGGTTAGCATTGAAGATCTACTGCACAGCTAGATTCCTCTTCACGTTTCACCGGATTAATGAATCTACAATGAACACAAAAATATTACAAATATCCATCATGGAGGAGTCTCATCATTACCAGATAATCAGAATTTTAATGAGTCAACTCACTATTGTTTTATTTTCCTCCTCTCCCCTGAAGAGTAAATAGTATTGAAACTACTGATCAGCTCTCATGGCCATCACAGTAATCAACTCCAATTACCTTCTACAATAAACTTAAACAACTAACACTTGTTTTCCGTAGACTATTTATAAACTCCTCAAGGTGTTTGACTGTTGTGAAAACTGAATGTAGAATACATTTTGAACTAAATGATAAGCTGCTGTTGAACTGTAAAGTTAGCTTCCTTCGAATGTAGTGTGTTGACATGGACATGTATTTTATTATTACTATTATTATTATTATATTATTCCCTTGGGTTCCGAATGGAACACAGGCCTTCTACAACACATCCCCACTTTCCTGTATTCTCTGCTTTCTTCTTCAACTGGGTCCACGATTGCCCATATTCTCTCATCTCCTCCATATCACCTCCACACCAACGACTCACTGGTCACTTCCCATTGGTATTCCACGCGATGGCCGCCTCAACATATGCTCAGTACATCTCCTTTTTCTCCTACATATTTGTTGGACGAAAGGTTCTTGGTTAGTTTGTTTCCATAGTTGCTTGTTGCTGATTCTTTCTGGCCTGCCATTTAATCTTCAATGTGTAGCCAGAGAAGGCAGATGTTGATAAAAGTCTGCAATTTGTTGGAAATCCTTTTCGTGAAATGCTGGTCAATTTCCTGACCCGTATAGAAGAGCTGATCGACTTCACATTAGTAGTGGTGTTGGAAATCCTAATCTTGTTCTTCATGTTGAGGTGGAGTGCAGAAGACTCAAAATTGGTTTCAGGTTGATGAAAGCATACCTCGCCTTTTTGATTCTGGTTGGCTGGCTCTGACATTTTCATTCGTTCCGTTGGCCTGTGGTTGAAACAATACTTCCTAGATAAGTGAAGGAGGCAACACCTCTGTTAAATCTCTCCCGTTGATGGTGATTGGTGCTGGTTGTTGTTGTTGTTATTGGTTGGTTAACTTCATCACCTCCATCTTCTCTACGTTCACCTAGAGTTCTGTCTTTGCTGTCTGCTTCTTCTGCCGGTTTGTTGGTTTTCGCCTGTGCGCCTTCGAGTTTGTGCGACATTAAACATAAATCACCCACTCACGAAATCCAGATCTTCTAGAGTCTTTTAATCGGTCAGTGCAGCGTATTCCTGTCTTCTCACTCGCTATGCACAGTCTGACGCATAATCCAGTCTACTACTATTAGGAACATCATCGGTGATAATAGGCAGGCAGCTTTGTCTTACTTCTGTATTCACAGTTATTCTGGACAACTTTAATACTCATCGTTTTGTATTTAAATTAATAAAGTCCCTAAAATTTTTCATTTTGGGCTATAGTTCAAGGTAATTTGTTGTATATATATACGACTGGACGTGAAGAAGTATCACTTTCCTTATGAATTTTATTGATAAGAGAAAATGATGAAACTGTGTGTAAGAATTACTCATTGAAACTTTTGAATTTCCAGTGGTTTGATCTCACCAGATCGAATTACTCGTCATTTCTTAGCGTATCGATTCCTAATATAGGAGCTTCGATGTCGCCTTAAGATAGGAATGTCATCGCTCAATGGGATGCAGATGCATTCAGTTGATAGGTCTCAAATAACACATAATCCGCGTCCTGAATTCCACTTCCAGCCATCACTGGTCAAATGATACTGATTACGCAAGAATTGTTGCTCAGTTTGACCGAATAAATGATAGAAAATCAATTTAACCAGTTGCCCTAGTTAAAATGAGAAAATAACATCTATAACTCTCCTTAGACGTCTGCTAACATTTATTGCAACCACTAGTGCTCTTAAGTGCTGATCAGTTTACTGGTGTCCCATGCAGTGTGATTACTAAA